AACAAAACATCTGGTGGCTCCATGTGACCTAGATGTTCCCTGAACAAAGGCCTGAGAGCCAGAGCCCAGCCCAGACAGCTCCCGCCCCGGGGAGAGAGGGTGGGAAATGCCCCTCGACCGAGGCCCACAATGTGGAGCCCACTCGGGGCTGGAGCAGGAGGGAGCCCCAGGGCTGCGTGGGGCACCCAGGACTGAGCGCCCACAGGCAGCTGCAGCGGCATCCCCGCCGCCTCCTTTCCTTCCAGACGGCCCTGCCTGCCCGTCTCCCGAGTGCTGTTCCCCCCGCGGAAGGGGGTCCCTCATTTCTCCTCCTGCTTTCAGCCCACATGCCCCTGCCAGGAGGCCTCCCCTTGCTGCAGACTCCCGCAGCCGCAGTGGCCCCTGTGGCGCTGGCCACATTGTCTTTACGCAGCTGCGAGCACTGTCGGAACGCCTTCCCCAGCACCCAGCAAATACACACTCCACAATGGGTGGGGGTGGAGTGATGGATGGATGGACAGATGGACAGCAGACAAACGGATGGGCCTGCCCGCTGCCCACCCCCAGGGCAGATGCGGGGGGAGGGAAGGGGAGGCGGGGGGGGGGGTGGCGGGGAGGGGGGGGGCGGGGGGCCTTCCTAACCCTCTGGCCAGGACTGTGCACAGTTCGGAAGCGCAGCCGTGTGGGCTGAGGACCCGTTTGAGAACTGCTTCCCCAGGGACTCCACTCGGAGCTGCACCTGCAGGGCAGCACCGGGCTCCATCTGAGGCCCAGCTCGCAGCTCCCCTGGGCCGCTGGGAGGCCCGGCCAACGCGCCTCCGCCCAGTACCTCCCTTCCCACTTACAGCCGGACCGGCCTTGTCCAGGGTTGGACTGAGCTTAGAAGAACCCGCCCCCAAGGCTGGTTAATCCGCAGGTAAACCCTGCCCGCAGAATCAGGGTCATGCTGAGCAGCCTGCGAGCCAGCAAGGGGTCCGGTCGGGCGGAAGGACGGGCCAGAGGCGCGGGTCCCAGTGTCCAGGATGGCAGCCCCCTTCTCTCCCTCTTCACCTCCCCTCGCTCTTTACCTTCCCCAGTGCCCCCCTCCCCTCCTCCCCACCTTCTTCACTTCTTCCTGGTCATTCATCCCGTGTCTCGGGGTCCCAAGGCTCCCTGTGACGCAGAGACCGCGGCCCCGTGGTCCAGGGGCTCAGGGCCGCCTGGTCGGGAGGGCGACAGCGCCCCCTGGTGGCCGCGGCCGCAGGAGGCTGCGGAGGGCGGAAGCGCTGTGGCTCGGTGCGGTTCTTGGTTCATTCATTAGCCATCGCCCACTGGGCGTCTGTCTGTTGGTGAAAGGTGCCTAAAACGGGTCAAGAGACCTCGCCACCATCAGCAATCAGGAGGGGGTCCCGGAGAGGGGCCTCTTCAAAGGGGGAGAGGGTGCGACATCCTTTCTCAGAGGTTACCCCGAGATGAAGAGGATGGGGACAAAGGCATCGAGGCCTGGGGGGAAGGGGGCGCGGAACCCCAAGGTTAGGGATTTGGGGGGTAGGGGAACAGGACCCCCAGTATCTGTTAAAGGGTTTGGGGTCCCCCCTGCAATGGGGAGCCACGCGAGTCTGAGGATGTGGAGGGAGGGATCCGCTTTGCATTTGAGGGAGAGAAGCGCCCCCTGGCGTCTGGGGAGGGGGAGGCGCCACGGAGCCCCGCGCAGGTGGAGACCTTCACGCACCGTGAAGCCCCATACCCGGGAGGGGGTGGGGGCTGCCCTGCGGGTCGGGAAGAAACCGCTCCCGGGTCTAGGGCTGGTGCGGCAGGACGCAGCCCGCCTCCGGGGACAGATTATACACGGGTGCGGCCCCAAGGGGGGAACCGTTAGTGCCGGTCTAACAAAATCACACGACCCAGCAGAACCTTCCAGAACCGGACCCGGCTGTGAAATGACACCCGACAGTGACTCACGGCCGCCCTGTTTGCAGAAGGCTGGAAACAACCTGCGCGCCCCTCGCAGACGCTGATAAGCGAGCCCTGGTCCGGCCAGCAGTGGAACAGTGCGCGTCTGTCCCAAAGAATGAGGAAGCCGGGCACGACTTGATGCGGAGTAATTACCATGATATATGGTCAAGGGAAAAAGGAAGGCACGGAGGGGAGTGTCTCTAAGCTACCACGGGTGGATTCATACTATAATCTGTAGGGTAACCGGTAAGAGGACAATAAAATGTAATTGGTATAAAAGAGGAAGAGAAAGGGGAGAAGAGGGAAATACAAGAGATGGGAGGAGTAGAAGATGAACAGTGAGTAATATGAAAGGTTTAAACTTCAATACAGGGTGGGGCAAAAGTGGGTTCACAGCTGTGAGGCCACGAAACAGTTTCATTCTTGTATTGTTATTGCATTATTTTCCATTTGAACGACTGTAAACCTACTTTTGCCCCACCCTGTATATCGGCCTGACATTAAATATAGAACAATTAAATACTCCAGTTCAAAGACCGAGGGTCTTAGACAGGAGGTTAGAAAACAACTACATCCTGCTTACAAGAGACAGGCCTAAAACACAAGGACACAGAAAGGCTGAAAGTGAAACGATGGAAAAAGACATACGCTGTGAAACCATTAACCAAAACACATCGCTTGTAGCGTTATGAAAAAATCACACAAGTGTAGACTTTCCTAGCAATAAAGAGGAACATTCTGTGAGGACTAAAGGGCCATTTGCCAGGAACAGGCAGCACTTCTAAATTTCTACGTACATAACAACGGACCTCAATTACAAACCAAGCGAAACTGACACAGCTGAGAAGAGAAACAGGCAAACAGGCAATCCTCACGGGAAATTTTAACACATTTCCCACAGAGTGAGCAGGCACACAGGTGCGCACACCCCGGAAAGGAGAAAGGACATGCACCTGACCCCTGCGAAAGACACACCGTTTCCTGATGTACCTGGAACACTTAACGAGACCGCACACACACGGGGCCACCAGGCCAGCCCTAAGAAGCTTTGAGGGAAGGGCTGGCACCTGCACCGTACGGAATCTGTTCTCTGACTATGGGGGGAATTAAGCCAGAGTCAACGACAGGAAGACAATTGTAAAATCCCCCAATTTCTGGACATGAACCAATAGATTTCTAAATACGTCTAAACCATTGAAAAAGGAATCCCAGCGGCTGTTGGAAACATTTTCACCTGAGGGGGATGGGGAGGGAGGAGGGGAGGGGAAATGAGAAGGGGCCAGTTTCCGGCGGTACAGACATGAGGGGCCCTTTCAGTTAGCACGGAGGAAACTCTGTAAAACCGATCCCACCATAACAATGAACAAACAGGAGGAGCTAAAGCGATAAAGCTCCCAGGGGAAGGTATTTTCATGAACTTGAGCTAGATTTCTTCCGACACCATAAAAGGAAGCCTGGTAGTAAAGGGAGCAGGCTTCTGAGGTACCGGCAACGCATGTTCTGTGCGTGATCTGGGCTGTAGATACACAGGTCCGGCCACCTGCGGTGATCCACCTGCCCCAGCTTTGCTCCCTAGAGTTTTCTTTTCTGACACTTGCTCGTTGTAAGATATATATATTTCAGAGAGGAAGGGAGAGAGAGAAACATCCATGATGAGAGAGAATCATTGACCGGCTGCCTCCTGCACGCCCCCCACTGGGGATTGAGCCCGCAACCTGGGCATGTGCCCCGTCACTTCCTGGTTGGTTCATAGGTCGATGCTCAACCACTGAGCTATGCCAGCCGGGCTGTAAGAGTTTTTATAAAATTTGAGCCAAAATGACAGTTGCCAGGAAGCAAGATCTCAAATGTTCTGGAGGGTAACAGGTTTGCAGGTCGTTGTTTTTTCTCCCCATCACCAACATGCAGTTTCTTCTATGCATTTGGAATTAAGGGGTGAATGTGAGAGGAAGTAAGCAGGGTCGGATTACAGGATAATTAACGAGATAATGTGCTCTCTGAAGGTGCTCGCACCTACTTTCCAAAGGTGTTATTAACCCAGGTGCACAAAAACCATGGAAAGGACTTAAGGCAAAGATAAACCTTTTACTAAGGAAGCTATATGCCTGGGGAGTGAATACCACCGTGACCTGCCCATTTAGACATTTATGATCAGATCACCCCCTGAGGTTACTTTCCGTTGAACCCCTTTCTCACCCACAACTTCCTGGAATGGTCCTAGGGTCCTCCCGCCCCCCCCCCCCCCCCCAGCTGATTGCATGATGCTTCTGTTAGGTTCTGCTAGAACCCCGCACACAGTCGGCGCTTAATAACTGTTTGGGAGGCCAAACAAGCAAAGCGCAATTCCCTCTAAATAAAAAAATAAACGGGGGTGGGTGGGTAAACGAAACCAAAAAAAGTAAAGAAAACAAACAAAACAGAGCCCAATTCCCCCGCGCCCGCCGTTTCCGGATCGACCCCACCTCCCACCCACTTCCCGGCTGCTCGCACAGCTAGAAACCAGTCCTGGAACAGCGGGGCCGGGAGTGGGGGTCCGGCCCCCAGGGAACCGCTCCGCCGGAAGAACGTCTCGGCCGGCCCCGAGCTGTCATAGGGTGGAACCGAGGAAGGGGCGGGGACTCGGCCTAGTCCTGATTCCTTAGTGGCTAGAACTAGGCAGCGGGCAGAAGGGGTGGAACCAGGTTTCCGCCGGACTGCTCATTGGCTAAGAGCTCGGCTCGGTCTTTGGATTCTCATTGGCTAAGGTCGAGAGCGAGCTGGGCGGTGACCTATCAGCTTCTGGGCCCGCCGTGGGTACGTGCAAGAGAAAGGCCCTTGCCCCGCCCCTCGGGCAAACCCCTTACTTTTTAAAAACACAATGGCGAGCACCGAGTGGTAGTTTACCGCGAAACCGCGGGGCCTTCCCTCGGACCTTTGCTCCCCGAGGCCTGGGAGCCCAGGGATTTAGAGAGACGCGAGCGGTGAGGGAGGCCGGAACGAATCCTTCGCGGAACCATCGAAGCGAAGCCTCTGGGCGCACGTGGAGGCACGGACCGCGGGGGTTGGGCCAGACCCGCAGGGATGGCAGCCGACGAGGGGCCGGGGGTCGCCATCCCCGTGGAGCTGCGGCGCGGGCAGCGCATGGTGTGCGTGGAGTACCCGGGCGTGGTGCGCGACGTGTCCAAGATGCTGTCCACCCTGGGCGGCGAAGAAGGCGTTTCTCGGGTGCGGAAGGGGGAGTCCCCGGGACCGCGGGGGAGGGACGGAGCCGTGGGACCGCGGCCGGAGGGGCGGGGTCACCCGGGGGAATAGCGTGGTTTCCTTGGCAACGGAGCCCTGGGCTGGCGCTGGTGCGGACCGTGGGCGGGCTGTGCTAGGGAGGCCGCGGGGAACAGATCGTTGTTCCCTGGAAGCAGAGGGAAAGGACTGTCGGGGAGATCAGAGGGGAACGGGGTGTCCTTTGCACCCCACATTCAGATGAGCCGCAGCCCCGCAGGAGTGGAACACGGAGGCTCCCGAGGATTAAGAGCCTAATCCGCTGACCTCCCTGCGGGGTGCGGGACGAAGGGCTCAGTGGTTAGAGTTGAAGTAGTAACAGTCACTCTTCTGTACCAGGCTTTCTGTCCTCATTGGCACCCTGCCGGGCGGGCAATGCCCGCGCTTTGCAAGGAGCACTTTGCAAGGAAAGCGAGGCAGTTCAAGGCCGCCCAGGAACTAGCGGGGCTGGGAGGAGTTCTCCCCTTGTGCCAGGCTCTGTGTGAGTGCTTTACACGCGCCAGGCCTTGAAATGTCGCTGTCGAGGCCCTCGCTGAACCCCAGCTCAGCTGGCAGCCGCCGAGAAGGAAGAGGCACCCCCGCCCCCCATTTCCTCTGCCACATAACAACTGCGATGCTCGGGTTTGCAAGTGAGCCTTTGGGGAACTAAGAGCTCTGAACGAAACATGAGCTCCTGGCCCTTTCTCTGTCACCTGGGTCATACCAGGCAGGCTCCTGCTGAGAGAGGTACCGCCCCCTGCCGGCCACTTAGCTGGCCACGGCTTCATCGGTCTCCCTTGGCCTCGGCACAGATCTACGGAGACCCCACCAAGAGGCTGGAGCTCTACTTCCGGCCCAAGGACCCCTACTGCCACCCCGTGTGCGCCAACCGCTTCAGTACCAGCAGCCTGCTGCTCCGGGTCAGGAGGAAGACGAAGCGGCAGGAGGGGCTGCCGGGGCCCGAGGCCCGCCCCCAGGTCACCTTTGACGTGGATATCCTTGGCATCGTCCCCACCATTTACAGATTCCAAGGTAACTGCAGGTGCACTCTCACCGAACTCGGGTCTCTCAGGGCAGTGTCCCCACTGCCTGCAGGAGCCTGCGCGTCAGCCACACAAGTGAAGGGAGCCAGGAATGCCCAGGCCTGCGGGGCGGGAGGTGAGGGCCTCTTCCCTCCGGCAGCGGCTCCCTGCAGACCTTGGGAGGCTCCTGAGAGAACCCGGAGGTCCATGAGCGGTGCCCTAGCTTTCAGAGTTACTGTGTGGGCCACGTAAGACTGGCCACAGGCCTGCAGTTCTCAGCCCCTCCGCCCCCCTCCCGTGTTGGGGAACCTGCTCCGCCTTCCCGGGGAGTCCTCACTCAAGTCTGCCACCCTCGGAGCCCCAGTGAGGAGGGAGGAAGGCGGGGAGGGGGAATGAGACGGCTGCGGACTTCGGCGTTGTGCCTTCCTGGGCTCCGCAGGGTTTTTGTGCAGGTCACTGGGCTTCCCTCCGCCTCAGTCTCCTTGTCCAGACACTGGGGCCCTGAGTTCCTGAAGCCCTTTGTGAAGATCCAGGGAGATGGTGCCTGTTACGGGCCGGCCCACCACATGGGGGCACTGAGAAACCTCTAGTTGCAGCTGCGGTTCTCAGACTCTGAAGAGAGTAGTGATTGAGGAGGCTGGAGGGGTGGAAAGAAGAGAAAGGAAACTGAAGCAGGACCTGGACCTGGGACCCAGGGGTTGGGCATTCTGACTGTCAGCCGCTCTGGAACGTTGTGCTGTTTTTGCGCGGACAAGCTTGCCCGTGATTTCCGTTCCCATCTCTAAGCGAGCCAGCACCTCGCCAGTCAGGTGCACGCCTGCCTCACCTGGGAGCTTGTTAGAAATGCACCATCCCAGATCCTGCATTTAGCAAGACCCCGGGAGTCACGGGCACCTTGCTTCGTGAGAAGCGCTGACCCAGACTTCATTCTCACAGCACGTAACCACCCCCACCCCAAATGCCGTTTATCCACGTGACGGGGGTGCACGGAGCCCAGTGCGTGGGAGCATTTCGGAAGCGTGTGGTTTCAGCTCCTGCCACCCAGGCCTGGCAGCCTCCGCCACTCGGCCGGCTCGGCACCTCCCCAAGAAGGCCTGGGCGTTGGTGCGTGGCACTGCCCCTTCCTGGGCAGGTCAGCCAGGAGAGTGGTCCCTGGCTGCGGTGCCGGCCACCTATCTCCTCTCTTTCCAGGAATGTCGGACTTCCAGTACTTGGCTGTGCACACAGAAGTGGGTGGCGTGCACAAGTCCATGTACGACAAGGTGCTCATGGTCAGGCCCGAGAAGGAGGACTTCTTCCACCAGGAGCTGCCGCTCTGCATCCCCCCGCCCATCTTCTCCCGGCTGGACACCCCAGCGGACTACTTCTACCGCCCAGAGACACAGCACCGGTGAGCCCGCCCCGCAGCGTCAGGGTCAGAGCCGGATGCGCAGGAAGTTTCCGCACAGGGCCAGGTACAGAGAAGGCCCTGGGTGAGCGGTGGCCGGGTGCTTGTGAGCTGGAGGGCCCTGACAGGACAGAGACCCTGGCTCTGGGGCTTGGTGCCAGTTGAGAAGTGGCCGTTGGGTTTAGTCCCAGGTCATTGCCACCCCCCCGGACCTTGCTGTCACCAGTAATGACAACATGTAGTCAGGTTCCACCTATGGGCGTCCCCTCTGAGCCAGCACCTTCCATCCCCTGCTGGCCTCCCTGTCCCCATCCCTGCCCGTGACCTCCTGGCCGTCTTTATCTTTCATCCTTGCTGTGCCCGTCCCCCTGTGCCACCCGCACCTCTGAAACCAGCCCAGTCCACTCCAGCTGTGTGCATCTCCCGGAGCCATCGCTGGCTCTCGTGGTGGCTGTGCTCTTGCTTACCGTGTGCATGGTCTGTGTCTGCTCGCGAGAACACGGCTCCTGAGCACAGGGACGGTATCTCTTCACTCAGGTGGTTTCCCTGGCGCTGAGCGTTAGAAACGCCAGGTGATGTGCATCATGGTCCGTAGCACAGACATCCCCCTGTCCCGCCCCGCCGCCATGCGCGCCCCAAAAGGCCCCGTGAGAGTGCTGCGTCCGTATAAACGAAATGAATGCTTTCATTTGACAACCGGCAGGTCGGGGAGACCCCAGGGACTATGGGCAAGGCAGGTCTGGGTGGGCCATGGCTTTATATTGAAGTCCAGCCAGCCATACAGTGACAGGAAGGAGTGGGGTTTCCTTCGTGTAGCAGCCAAGACAGAATGGTATTAAAAAAATAAAAACCCGTGAGTTTGAAACACCCAATTGGAGAATAATGTGGCCACCTCCCGGCCAGTGATGTAGCATCTCTCAGAGAAGCGCTGTGCTTGTTTCTGCAAATGGGGGCTGGTCCAGGGCACATGGCAGCCCCGGGGCCCCTGACTTCTGACCCCCAGGCGTTGCGCATTGCACACTGTCTGTGTGTTTGCATGCGTTACTTTTTCTAATTACACACAGAAGGACAAACATTTCTCAAATGCCTCAATTTCAGTGTAAGCTCTGTGGAGTGTGGAAGTTGTGATATCCATGTCCTGTGTGGCTTGGGTTCAGGACCTGGAGGAGGACCGCACGCAAATGATGAGACTAGACAAGAAATATGAATTTGGAAACGGGGGGCCAGGCGGAGAGCCCACCTCAAGTGGAAGGGCTTCACTGGTGCCCAGGCCCTGCCAACCTTTTATTTAATTTTAGATACACATATTGCCCTTACGCAATTCCGGTAGCAGACAGACTATCTTAAAGATCAGTAAATATTAGTAAAGATTTACTTTGAGACGATTAGGTCAGGAAATTGCTTGAGCCAGCATTGTCTCGACTCAACTATCGGTGCATAGCTTTGGCCCTTTCCAGAGCTCAAGGTCCAACAGCCTTCTAGATTCCTTGTTTGCACTTTCCTGATAGTGTAGACAATGGGTGGCTTCCAGCAGTGGAGGTAGCGATTTGGCCTCTCCTGCCCTCCGTTGTAACCTTGGTGTCTAGGACAGCCTGGCCCAAGAGAGGCCTCTGCAAGTATTTATCAACCCAGTGGATGAAACTTTGGGGGAGCAAGATTAGGAAAAACAGAGAAACAAATGGAAAAAGATAGTTTGAAACATGGCCCAAAGGTGGTGATACTCAAAGGATTGTTCCTAGCATGTTAAACGTCCAAAAGTTGGAGGACTTTAGTGCCTGCTGACTTGGTAGCTGAGGGTCACCTCCCTCTGCCAGCTGTGCTCAAGCCCATGGATTAGTGCCTCCAGGGAGAGCAGCTGGTGCTGGGCTCCCTGCGAAGAGCCAGCCCTGGCCCTGCCGCCCCACCCCCACCCCCGGAGGCGGTGCTCAGAGCTGCCCCCACACCAGGGAGAGTGAATTGGGATGTCACTTTGGACTTGAAGACCCAACCCCAGAAGTGTGCACCCTGAGGTACAAAAATGCACACCCTCCTACTAAGGGTTCACCCCAAAATGAGGTCAGCTTTTTTGGTGAGCAGTTTGGCAAAATCTATTATGATTTTAGATGTTCTCTTCCTGTTTGCCAAGCGCTCCCACCTGTAGGTGTTTATCCCAGTTCCTCTCACCTAAGAGTTCAAAGATACGGTTATGAGAGCATTTACAGATTAATTGTTGGCCACAGCCGGCCCGGTCAGGTCCTCTGAGCCCCGGCGTCCCCACAGCGTCCCAGGGAGGAGGGCCAGCTGCCCTCAGACCCACAGGCCCTCTGCCCTCACCACTGTTCATGGATTCCCAGCACATGGAAAGCACCTGCCTTTTCTCCCAGCGCTGCCATCGATTGTTCTGCTCTGCTGGCCTTGCCGGGCCGGGAACACGAGGAGGGGGGCTGGCCTGGCGGGTCCTCCTCCCGGAGGCTGAGTGGGTGCGGGAGCCCTGTCCCTGCAGTGAGCCCAGCGGGGTGTCTGACCCAGGACACTGACGCTCTGGCAGGATGGTTTTACTGGAGTCATGGTTTTTGAAAAAGGCACAGATGTGATCATGTGATTACAGTTTTGTTTCCCAGTGTGAAAGCCATTGTTCTCCATAAATAAGCAGGTGGCACGTACTCACTGAAAGTTAAAGGAAACCACTTGAAAAGGTAATAATCACCTGAATAAAGTGTGATATGCAGGGCGTAGGTGGAAGGTGCTCTGAATAATTCGGTGAGTTTGGGGTGGTGCCGAGGAGAGGAAACCACCATGTGACGGTAGCTGTTGGAGCTGGGGGTGGGCTCGTGGGGGGCTCCTCACACTGTCCCCTGCTTTAGTGCAGGTCGGACGCTCTGGCTCCCGCCTCACAGAGGCGGCACTGGGCACCTGGGACCACTGGCCTGAGTGTGTTCTGTGCTCTGTGGCTGGTGGCAGGACCCTTGCTTTTGCCTCTGCGGCGTGGCACTCGGTGACACATTGTTTCTCCACCTGGATGCTGTCAGCCATTTCCGCTGGGCGCTCGGCACCGTGCGGCCTCTGGGCGGGCCCCTCACCCTGGGCTCTGACTGCACAGGAGGGTGCTGCCTCCTCGCAGGGGGTTGGAGGGCCGAGTGAGTGAACCGGAGCTGAGGTCTGACAGCGGGCCCATCGGGCCGGTGCGGCTGCGCGGCAGCTCCGTCCCCATCCCGGCCTGAGGGCCTTTGGGTTCCTAGTTTTGACTGGCAGGTGGGTGCTTGCATGAGTCTGAGGCCACCACCTCGGGACAGGAGCCTCCCCCACACTCAGCCGCTGGGACCTTTTGGCCTGGCCCAGCTCAGAGCTGCAGGCCCAGCCTCTCCGAGCTGCCTCTGGTCGCTGCCCTCTCCTCGGTGCTCAGCCTGAGGACAGACGGGTCTCGGGCGCTAAGACCCTCTCCCTGACCCAGATTCCAGGGAAAAGCGCACAGACACAGGCCACCGGCGTCTCGGGCCTGGCGCGCTCCCTGCCTGGTCTGGCCGGGCCTGTGCCTGGTTCTCATGGCCCTTTCTGCCCCCAGGGAAGGCTACAACAACCCCCCCATCTCAGGCGAGAATCTGATCGGCCTGAGCAGGGCCCGACGCCTCCACAACGCCATCTTTGTCAACTTCGAGGGGGATGAGGTGCCCGAGCAGCCGCTGGAGGCTGCAGTGCAGACGTGGACCAGGCTCTGCACCAACCCCATGGACCGCAAGGTGGAGGAGGAGCTGAGGAAGGTGAGCGCCGCTCCGGCCGCCTGGAGACCCAGCGGGGCTCTCCTCACTCTGCGGTCGGCTGTGCCCACTTCTTTAACTGGTTCGTTAGCACACGGCATGTTCTCACTTCTAGATGTCACGTCTGAAAGCCATGCCAGTGTACGCCCGACTGGCAAGGTTGAAACACTTAGAATTCTCTGATGGGTCCCTTTGGGAGGCAAACAAGCGGTGCATTGTTCAGATGGGACTTCGTGTGGAGCTCCGGTTCCCGGAAACTCTCCTCCATTAGTGGGTTTGCCGCGTGCCAGGTGCGTGCGCGCAGCCTGCCGCGTGCCAGTCGGAGGCCGGGCCTGCCCTGGGCGGACACCTTCGCCCCGCCCTCTGGCTGCGGTTCTGAGAGGATGCGGCTGGGCTCTGCTCCTGGTGTCCTGCAGGTGTGGACAGCAGGTCCTCGGTGAAGCCACCTCCCTGCCGGCGGAGGCGCGCCCCTGGTTGCAGTTCACTGTCCGTGGGGGACGGAGTGCTTCTTAAAGAGACTGGGCACCATGCTGTGTTTAGCAATCAAGGGGGGGGAAGGGAGGGAGGAGGGGCAGAGGGCACTGTCCGAGGCTCCTCATTGTCCTCTGGACACGGCCCAATCCTGCCTGGCTCAGGGCCCTTCCTGCCCGGCCGCCATGCTGAGCCCACTGGCCTTTAGTCCTCCTGGGCCAGGCCATCTCTTCGGCCTTCATGATGTGCCAACTCGGGGTTCGGAGCTCCGGCTCCTTCGGTCATCTGCCCTGTGAGCTACATAAGGACAGAGGCTGTGTCCCTCGTCCTTTCGGGACCCTGGCCCTGCAGCCACACGTGGCACGAGCTGGGTGTGCAGCCTGCTTCTGGGCGGAGGGATGAGGGATGTGTCCCGGGCCCTGGAGGCTGGTCCCTGCTGGCTCAGCCCCGCCCTCCACCGACTCCTTTGGGGAAGGGTCCTCCAGGGCCGGACCACGCTGTGGAGTCGCCGGCGGGCGGGCTGCTGTGCTCATCTCAGCCTCTGCCTTGCCGCCCCCCCCCCCCCCAGCTGTTTGACATCCGTCCCATCTGGTCACGCAACGCCGTCAGAGCCAAGATGAGCGTCCACCCTGACAAGCTCAAGGTCCTGCTGCCCTTCATGGCCTATTACATGGTGAGTGTCTGCCCAGCCGCCACCTTGGTTCCCACCAGGGCCGTGCTGGTCCCCAAGGTGACCTCAGAGCCAGAGCAGTGGCCCTGTCCCACCCCCTCCCCCACCAAAGGCCGTCAGAGCTCTGCAAGAGCACGCTCAGCCCCCTGGGGTGATTTCAGGATTAAAGAGCAATTTCATAACTTTACGCAAAGGGATTCTACACCGTGAAGTGACTGGCCGAGTGCTGGTGGGCACCTCAGCCTCCCCGGGTGGCAGCCGGTCCCCTGCTCTCCGCGAGGAGGAGCCGGGCGCGGAGCGCTGACTGAGGGGCCGGTTCACAGCCAGCGAGTGGCAGCGCCACTGGCCCCGCCCGTCTGCCTGCAGAGCCCGGCCCCTGACCACAGTGCCTCCGGCCCCAGCTCGTCCCTGGGTTGAGTGGGGCTCAGTGGGGAGATCCCCCTTGGACTCAGTCCAGGTGCATGGAGATGGGGTGTCATTACTGGGCTCCAGAGGTGCTGGGGGAAGGGACCGTGCGTGCCGAGGGCCCCATGCAGGGTGCTGACTTACAGAGTCGCCGTCTGTCTTGCGCGTGGGCTTTCCCTCAGGACAGGGACGCATTTGCCGAGCACTGACTGTGGCCGGCACGTGGCCCAGGCTCCAGGCCTCGTCTCACCCCACCTGACAGGAAGGCTGAGGCTTGGGAGATCACGTGACCTGTCCGAGGGGACAGCCACAGGTGGCAGAGCTGGGGGCTGCAGAGCCACGTCTGCAACTCTTGAGAGTGACCCCCCCGTCGCTGCCCCCACTCCAGGCAGGCACCTGGCCTGTGCATTTGCGGAGCCGGGGCCCGGCCTGGGCCCCTCCCCACTCCCACCTTCTCTCCTCCAGATAACAGGTCCCTGGAGAAGCCTGTGGATTCGATTCGGGTATGACCCCCGAAGACACCCGGAAGCCAAGATCTACCAAGTCCTTGATTTCCGAATCCGTTGTGGAATGAAATCGGGTAAAAATGACCAACATCTCTCTCCCTCCCGTCTTCCTGTCCCACGCGCTCTGGTAATCGGCCCGCGGCCGCGTGGCGGGGCGCAGGCCACCCGGCGAGGGCTGAAGCGAGGGGGACGTGAGGGTGCGCGCTCGGGCCTGGCTCCACGCTGACCCTCGTTACTGAGCCACGGCCACTCGTTCACTCGTTAGTCCCGTTACTGTGGGTCCCGGGGGGCAGGCCGGGCGTCCAGCGGTGTCCGCAGTGAGGACCGCGCCAGGGCCCCAGCTCTGGCCCGCACGGGAACGCCGTGGCTCCACCCGGGCTGTCTCGGGAGCTGTCCCCAGGGAGCCCTGGTGGCCGGTCGCGCCAGGCCAGTGCCCTGTGCCAGAGAGGCTCTGCCCACCCGCACCTGACACCCCCCTCACCTCAGGGTACACCTCCAACGAGATGCCCGTGAAGGCCAAGCGCAGCACCTACAACTACAGCCTCCCCATCACCGTCAAAAAGGCGTGTAAGTGCCTCGGCTCGCTCTGCGAATTGGGGTGATGGGACTCCACCGATGCTGAGGACGGTGGCCTCTGGATTGCGGGGGGGTGGGGGATGCTTCCAGCAATCCCCGGGGAGGGGGCTGGGTAGCACCCCTGAATTCCTAAGCACTGCTGTTGTCCCTAGCAGCCAACCAGCTTGTCACCATGCAAGATCTGAAGCAGGGCCTGGGCCCATCCGGGGCAGCTGGCATGCGGAAATCGGCCTCCAACAAGTACAAGCTCAAGGTGGGTGCCTGGAGCCCGGGGAGGGCAGGCTGCAGCAAGCACGGCAGAGCCCAGCCCCAGCTGGGCAGGAGGCTCTCGGCTCCAGGGTCCCCCTCCCAGAACCTCCGGGGCATCGGAGCGGCTTTTCTGCATACCTGCTCTGGCTTCGGCCTGTCTGCCCCACCTGGGTGCAGGGACCAGCTAACTCCTGTGGCCCAGGGTGGGGTCTCCAGCACTGCCCGCCCCAGGGGAAGGCTCCCGCTGATGTGGCCCGTGTCTCCCCTCTTCCCCAGGACTCGGTTTACATCTTCCGGGAGGGCGCCTTGCCGCCGTACCGACAGATGTTCTACCAGCTATGCGACCTGAACGTGGAAGAGTACGTCCTTGAGGGCCGCGAAGCCTGGGTGGGGCCGTGGGAAGGGGTCGGGCTGCGAACCTGCCGGGACACAGAGCTCCCTGCGCAGATTCATTCCCATCAGCCTCCCTCTCAGTGACTCGGGTGCTGCCTGGAGAGCCCCTGTCCGGGTCACATGGGCCACACCTGTCTCCCAGGCAGGGTGCGGGCCTCCACTGCCCACGTGTGGGCTCGTGACATGGCTCAGTCCTTCAGAACCGACTAGAACCCCAGAAACCTCCAATCTGGTTGTTCATAGTGATGCTTAGGTATTGGGGAGGGGCACCGGGGGGCAGCTGCGGGCGGTTGGACACGCACTCACCCGGCCCTTGGGGTGGGCACCCCCGCTCGGTGCCTTGAGGGTCGGGGAGCACAGCCCAGGGCCCAGCGGTCCTGCATGTTCTCATTCCACTTCGCCCCTTGGCGCTCAGCGCTGCTTTTCCAAGCACAGCCTCTCGGCCACGCTGCGCACCGGCCTGTTAGCCGGGAGCCGCCTGGAACTCCATGCGCCCCCCATCCCCCCTGGCCCCCCCAGGTTGCAGAAGATCATTCACCGCAACGATGGGGCCGAGGAGACCTGCACCGAGCGGGACGGGTGGTGCCTCCCCAAGACCAGCGACGACCTGCGCAACGCCATGTCCCTCATGATCCGGCAGATCATCCGTGCCCGGAGGCCTGGTGAGCGCCGGGGGAGGGAGGCCTGTGAGCCAGCACCGGCCCAGGAGCCAGCCCTGGGCTGCCCGCTGCCGTCATGGGTACCGCTTCATACCTGCCTCCACCTCACGCCTTCCCGCTGTGTGTGTGTGTGTGCACGCGCGGGCGTCTGTCCTCCTGGGAGACGGGCAGTGGGTCAGGTCCTGTCACCCTGCAGGGCTTGCCCGGGGGGAGGGGGGGCGGGGGGGCGGAGGCAGGGGGAGCCCTGGCAGCTGGGCCTCTGAATAGGGGAGTGAGCACCTGCTGGGCTGAGGCTGGGGGTGGGGGGGTAGAGTAAGCAAGAGGCCCCTCCCAGAGGGCTTCTCCCAGGCTTGGGGCGGGGGTGGGGGAGGGGGTGTCCCAGAGCCTGCCCTGCCCCATGGAGCTGACGGAGCAGAGCTGCTTAGCCTTGTTTGGGACACAGCCCCTCGAACACCTCACCCAGGCTGTGGGCCCTCCCCATAAACCACTCAGAATGGGCGCTCCTGGGAGTCACGGGCCCCTCTGGGGAAGAGGTGTGCACAGCACGCAGCTCCACGGTCCCCGACGTGCCTGCGTGCCAGGTCCCGGCACCCACACTCCACAGCAGCTCCTACTGGAGCCCAGGCACAGTCCTCAGAGCCCTCGGAGTCCTCGGAGCCCTGTTCTGGGGTTCTGGGGGCCAGGGGCCCGGCCTGGGGCAGGAGCTGCTTTGAGACACACCGTCTCCTGCCCCAGCCCTCTTCTCCAGCCCGGCCAAGACTGACGGAGATGGAAGGAAAGAGCAGCTGACAGGCGAGTCTGGGGAGGACGAGGAGGAGGAGGAGGAGGACTTCAAGCCGTCGGATGGGAGTGAGAATGAGATGGAGACCGAGATCCTGGACTACGTGTGACACAGGGTCACGTGTGACCCCGGAGGACAAGCCAGGGCTCCGCAGTGCTGCCACAGTCGCCAGCACGGCCTTGGAGGCCCCTCTGAGGAGCTGGGCTCCCAGCACTGGGTGCAGCTGGCCCTGGTCCTGCCCGTGACTGCTGCCAGGGCTGCGTGGGACATTCCTGAAGTCATGCCCTGGCTCCTGCAGCCAGGCACCAGCGAGAGCCGGAGGCGGAGATGATGCCGCCGGGGGTGGGGGTCAGCTTGGCTTGGGGCTCATGACTGACGGCAGGGATGGCACCAGGAGCCTGGTGCATGGTCACGGCTGGCAGGAGCCTGTCCTTGGGTTTGGATCCTTCTGTTTGGGGTTAGCCTGGCAGAGGCAGGCCCAGCTGGTATTGTCCGCATTAAATACCTTTCCCCAGGAGACTTGATATGAGAGTGGCTTAGAGCCCCTGCTGGGCGGGGGGAGGGGAGGAACGTGGGCTGCTGGACCATTGCTGTTCCTCTGTGGCCTCAGTGGGCGGTGCTGGGACAGCTGAGCACAGGCCCGATGCCCTCGCCAGGTGGGTGGGTGAGGGGCCCGCCCCGGAGGGTCCCACAGCCTAGTGTGCGTTCATCCCTCACTGCTCCAGAGGCCTCCAGGAGACAGGCCCTGGTCCCATGGCTGCCGGAGTGAAAGGGCAGGGTCCTGGGGAGCCTCCAGGACAGACGGGGCCCAGGGCTCCATCCTGGAACCTGCCTGTAGAGAAGCTGGGCAGGCTGGCCGCCCGATGGCCCCGCTCCCTACTGCTGGGCATGGCACAGCCAACACTTGCAGGAGCAGCTCTCCCCAGAGGCGGGCTGGGCCCAGGCCCACGCCCCCCCATCCCACCCCACCCACCCCACGTGCTTCTCTTGGGGCCTCTGCTGTCCACTGTGGGTCTCCGTTGGGGCTCCCACTCTGAGTGGGGCTACGAACCCCCTGGTCCTCAGAGGGAGAGGGTCCAGGCTCTGGTCCCTACCTCCCGGGAGCGGCTGGCCCCTGTGCCAGCCTGAGGAAGGCAGCCGGGCGGGGACCTCACCCAGAGTCACTGGCACGGGCCGCACTGAGGCTCCCAGGTCCTGCCACACAAGTATCTGGTGGCGCCTCACTCAGAAACCTGATTTTCACACCCCATTTTTGGAAAAGCTTTTTTATGGTGGAAAATATCAAATATCCACAGAAATACTGACAGTTTAGTGGTAGTTCATGTTCAAGACCGCTTCCTGGGCAGCACCCGGTCCTGCCAGGAGGCACCCCCCGTGCAGCCCCTCCGGTGAGTGAGGCTTGACCAGCAGGCTCAGCTGCGATCTCCCTCCTCCGCCCCTGCCCCTGGGCCTTCTGTCACATATTTAACAGCCACGTGATCGTGTGGGTGCCAGGCTCCCTTAGGGGCTGCCGTGCCCTGTGTCAGCTGCGCTTCGTGAAGGGTTGCTTCTCAGACGCCCCACGGGTGCCCTGCCCCACCGCAGCGCCTTCAGAATAATGACCTGGCACCCCAGCAATGGCCAGTGGGGACGAGGGGTGCAGCAAGCACCTACCCCCTGGTGCCCTCACCAAGGAAGGTGGTGGTGGGAAGCAGGAAGGCAGGGAGGACCGGAGGGTGTGTCAAAGGACACGGGCGACCGGAGGGGAGGTCACACACACCTGTGAGGTGAAGACTCCTCTCCGGCCACACGCTGTCGGCGGCAGCACCGGGTGGACCTGTGTCTGGCCGAGTGGCAGTGTCTGCCTGCTGTGAGGTCAGCACAGGCGGGTCTGCCCGCACAGAATGTGCGCCATCGGGGAGAAATTATTCTAAGGATTTGCCAAAGTTCTGTGTGCCATTAAGTCAGGCGGGTGAGTTTCTTACTAGGTCAGCCTATCAGTTCAGAACCAGATACCTCCAGCCTAATTACCCAGGTTAGCACACAGACTTCTGGGAACCCATAGCCCCTCCAAGCACCCAACAATAGCCATGCAATCTTCGCACAAAAACATGAAAACCCACCCATACGTGCATAGTCAGCAGGGGTTCGAGAAGCGTTTTCTGTCAATGAGACGCTCCCATGTTAACTAATAGCACCTTTACACTAAAAAGTAGAGAACACCAGGGCTCTGACGTGGGGACTAGCCTCTTACAGAGAGAAGCTTAAGACTCCAACCCAGCTTCTTCCAGGGAAACCTGGGGCCCTAAGCAAGCCTCTGTTGACCTGGGCCCTAAGCCAGCCTCTGTTGACCTGGGCCCTAACCCAGCCTCTGTTGACATGGGAGTTCAGCTAAGTTTCTTAAAGAAACCTGGGCCCTCGCCAGTTTGGCCCAGTGGATGGAGTGTTGGCCCTCAGACTGAAGGGTCCCGGGTTTGATTCCAGTCAAAGGCACGTACCTTGGTTGCAGGCTCGATCCCCAGCCCCAGTTGGGGTGCGTAGGGGAGGCAACCAGTGGATCTGCCTCTCTCACATCGATGTTTCCCTCTCTGTCTCTCCCACTTCCTTCTACTCTCTCTAAACGTCAATGGAAAAATATCCTCGGGTGAGGATTAACTAAACAAAAATAAATAAGAGAAACCTCTGCTGACCTCAGACTCCAGCAGCAGAATCTTAACACATTGCGGGCGGATCACGAGAACTCTCGTGTTTTCATATTACACAGTGTTTTACAAACTATCATACTTTAAAAAGATAGTAGCTTATAATATGTAATAAATAACTTCAAAATTCAATGGGTATTTAACTTTAAAGTGTGCCTTCAACTATATAAAATGTTTTTTGTACTCAAAGCTAGCAATAAAACTACTGGTCCGTTGCCCTAGCGGTTTGGCTCAGTGGATAGAGCATTAGCCTGTGGACTGAAGGGTCCCAGGTTTGATTCCAGTCAAGGGCATGTGCCCAGGTTGTGGGCTTGATCCCCAGTGGGGGGGCCTGCAGGGGGCAGCTAATCAATGATTCTCATCATTGATGTCTCCCTCCCTCTTCCTTTCTCTCTGAAATCAATAAAAATATAAAACCTACTGGTCGGCAATGTGTTAAGAACTGAGATCTGTCCTTACCGTGCTTCAGTGGACTGTCACCCGGAGCCATGGCTCAGGAGTTGGCTCACCAATGGATCCCCAGTCAGACGGGAGCGAGCGCCGAGTCTTCAGGGGTGTACACGTGGGCCGTGGTGTGAGAGGTCCGGGAGTCCAGCCATGAATCCGATCTGAGCTGAGTCACGGCACCATCACTGTCCAAGAAAAACCAGAGCCGGACAGTAGTTAAGGCAGCAAAACCAGATTTTATTCAGGACTAATGCAGCGGGGGAAGAGGCCTCCGTGTAGATGTGGGCAAGTGGGCGCTACGGCCCAGGAGCGGGGCGGCCGTGGGTGGGAAATTCCTCGTTGGGCTGAGGGTAAGGCCTCCGGCCAACAGGTTCTGGGTGAAGACACGGCAGGGACCACAGCCCCAGGGTCGGTGGCGGCCGAGGAGCTGAGAGGGTGCGGAGGGTGATCCGACTGGGAGGTGGGACTCAGCTGCAGCCGCCCTGCAGGCGACGATGAGCCGGCGGCACCGGGACGCCCGGCTGGAAAAGCCTCCGGGGGCCCGTGGAGTGCGGGCAGGGAGAGCATCTTTGCCGGACTTCAAACATTGGCCAGATCTTCTCTGGGTGGAACGCATGCCCCTAAAGTCAGCCCCTAAAGCGAGATGAGCAGGAAGCACTCCACTTGCTGCGGAGCCAGAGGGGCGTCTCATTGCGGGGCCGTTTGCCTCCTCCGGACGCTTCCGGGCCAGCTCGCTCACATCTGTCACCCACCCTGTGCAGGCGCACGTACACATGTGATGTGAGCAGCCACCCCCGTCACTAAAACGTAGGGCGCAGCCCGCTTCCCTTCCTCCTTAACGACGATAAACAACGCTGCCCAGAACATGCTTCAGCACACGAGTCCCCGTCCCCCATTCAGAATGACCTTTAATGAATTTTTTAATTTCTTAAAAATGAAGATCTCACATGCCCTGACGGGGAATCAACCAGCAACCTATCGGTGCATGTGACAACCACGCCCAACTACTGAGCCACGCCAGCTGAACGATTTTACTTATTATTTTTTTAAAAATATATTTTATTGATTTTTTACAGAGAGGAAGGGAGAGAGATAGAGAGTTAGAAACATCGATGAGCAAGAAACATTGATCAGCTGCCTCCTGCACATCCCCCACTGGGAGATGTGCCCACAACCCAGGCACATGCCCTTGACCGGAATCGAACCTGGGACCTTTCAGTCCGCAGGCCGACGCTCTATCCACTGAGCCAAACCGGTTTCGGCTTATTATTTTTTAACATATATTTCTATTGATTTCAGAGAGAAAGGGAGAGGGAGAGAGAAATAGAAACATCAATGATGAGAGAGAATCATGGATCAGCTGCCTCCTGTACACCCCATACTGGGGACCCGAGCCCACAACTCGGTCCTGTGCCCTGGACCGGGAATCGAACCCCGACCTCCTGGTTCATAGGTGGATGCTCAACCTCTGAGCCCTGCCGGCCGGCATATTTTCTTTTTAAATTTGTTGTTGAGAGTATTGCAGATGCCTGCCATTTCCCCTCTCGGCCCCTCTCCACCCAGCTCCCACCCCAGCCCAGCCTCTCCCCTGTCTATTGTCTATGAATATATGCCTAATAGTTCTCGATTAATCTCTTGCTGCCCTCCCTCCACCTTCACTCTGAGATCTGTCCTTCTGTTCCATGCTTCCATGTCTATGGTTCTGTTTTATTCGTCAGTTTATTTGGTTCATTAGATTCCACATGAGTGCGATCATGTGACACTTGTCTTTCTCCCACTGGCTCACTTCACTCAGCATAATAGTCTCCAGGTCGCTCCAGGCTGTCTCAGCGGGTAAGAGGTCCTTCCTTTTTACAGCCGCATAGTATTCCATGGTGTGAATGTACCACAGCTTTTATCCACTCATCTACCGATGGGCACTTGGGCTGTTAACAAATGCACCCGTCAACCCCTTTGCTCCCTGGTCCTCACCCACAGGCCCAGCCTGCCCAGCTCCTGCTTCCCACTGTGGGGCCCCCTCCCCACCTGCATCCCAGGAGACCTGGGGACTGGATCAGCAGGCAGAAACTCTGGCTTGTGTCCATGTGGTGTTGGGGACAGGGCCTGCCCTATGCCACCTGCCTCTATTCCCAGTAACCTTCACAGGTGCCCTGAGGGCACCAGCTCCCGGTAACAGCGGCTCCTGGGAAAGTCGGACCATCCCTGCACCCATGCACATGTGTGTGTGTGTGTGTGCGTGTGTGTGTGTGTGCACGCACACCTGCCTGACCTTGGTCCAGCCCGCGCCAGGCTGGAAATGACAGCTGTGCTGGTCCCACGTATACCACCTGGAGTATGGCCAGCCTGCAGGAAGGGGCAGAGGTCGGAGGAGGGAAAGAGGACCCTCCACAG